AACAAATAGAGTGAAATAAGTGAGAGTTAGTTATAAAACGTGTGTACAAAAATCAACTTTTCACATAGCAGCAAAATTAATTAGAAAATATGAGATTAAAAGATCTCACCAATAAGTGGCTATGTAAAAAATTGCTGAATTCCTAAAAAGAATTTAAAAAAAAAAACCTTAAACCATCCTGTGATCCATAAGTGTCGATTTGAATAACGTAGAGATGGATGACACACCTGAGTTGAGTGGTAAAATTCAATATTGTAATAACTACAGTTCTATCCAAATTAATTCATGAGTTTAATGCAATTCTAATGAAAATTTCAACGTAATTTGAGGTAGTTTGAAAAACTCCACATTTCAACCGAGAGGATAATCATGAAATTAAACAAGAGGCTTTAGAAAATATGGATAATAATTTGTGTGTTTGCTGGGGCGAAGAGAACTTAAACGATTAGTTATCAAAAAATACTTCAATCTCTCTCGTATTGCTGCTGGTGAGAGATGAACTAAAGAACTCTGGCAAAAAACTAATTCTGATGAGTTTCCTAAAAGAAAAAGTATTAGAGCTCAAAGATGTATGCTCAGTCTGAAGAAATAACCAGGAATGCACACAAGATAGGGGTATGTACGAGATTGTTTATTTTTAAAATAATATTAATGGAAAGTTTGAAACGATTTGGTCAGCAATAAAGGATTTGAAGATTTTCGAGTTTGGAATATTGTACAGGAATGACTGCCATGTTTGGATGACATGGGAATATGCTCGCCCATGCGAAGATGCAAAGCTAAAGATTATAAATAGTCTGGGCAAGTTTTGAAACCTACCTCTTCTTGTACTTTGTGCACAGTATTTCATCTCTATACGCCTCGTCTGCTCTGTGTGATAGTGATGCTATTCACCTCATGGCTCCGCCTCTAGGGTTACATGAGAGAAAGCAGAAGGAGGGGGTATCCTCATGCCAGGCACGTGTTAGGCCTGGAAATGTGACCTGAAGTGATGATAAGACATTATAGTCTACGTGTATAAATCAAGAAATGAGGGAAATATACCGACATGTTAAAGGAGCTTATCTGTGGGTGGAGAGTTTTTATTATGTTTTCTTCTATAGTTTCTATGCTTTATATACTTTCCACAATGAATGACTTAGATGAGGAAAAACATGTTTTCTAAAAGGAGAAAGTCGATAAGGAAATATTTCTGGGTGGTATACAGAGATCTGTGTGATTCGGTGGTTATTGTGGCTGGAAGTTTGTTACCCTGTGTATTAAAATAACAGAACTAATAACAGGAGAGGGAAGTACACATCATTGATGCTATTTTGGACTCCCCTACTTTACCCATTAGTATTTACTTCCTCGGATTTGGTCAGTCTTCTCAATTTTGGGGGGTAGCTTCTACTTTTTCTCATAGCCAAGGCCTTTTTTGTCCTTACTGTGGGGAACCCTGGAACCAGGACTTCTCTAGACTATCACCCCTCCCTCCAAAACTCTCCTGTCTTAAAAAAAAACATTAAAAAGAAGGGGTTCTTTAACTCTCATGGCATTAATGCTTCTGCTTCCACTGTCCTCTTCCGCTCGTTGAGTTGAGAGGACGTGTTCTCCTGGGAGGAGTTCGTCCTGCCCCGTGATGGCACTTGAACGCTAACATAAAGTGGTCACGCTGAACCACGTCGGGACACGCCCCACTGGGATTCAGACATCATTTTAAAATGAGTCTACCCTCGTCTTCTGATATTCCAACACCGCCCTGCTTCGGAGCGCGGCTTTTACTGCAGCCTCATCCAGTTTCTCAGGCATCCAGCCTTGGACACATCTGTCTGTTGTATAGTTGACCTTTCGGTAAATGAGACCACAGAAGTGATTTCTACAACCTCCAGCAGGAAGCAGTGACCCTTTGCTTCCAGCGGCAGCTTGGGCCCCCCCAGCACTGTCTCTTGGTCTCCACCTGCAGCTGCCCAGCAGAGCAGCCCCTACCCCCGGGGAGAGCGGCCCTCTCAGAGCCCCTACGGCCGGTGGCACCTTTGCAGCGTTGACCTCATTTACCATACACCACTTGGCCAATGTTTAGGGAAGTTCTGCTCTTGGCATCTCCCAGATGACCTGGTGACCACATTACTTAAGCACGCCCTCTGCATGGAGTTCTGTCTGAATGCAAGTTGTGCGGAGCAGAGAGAAGACACAGCCTACTTTTTCTGGAAGCCTTCGAGGACGCACTTGAAATATTAAACACCGAGAAACATTTCATCCTTTTTTCTCTTGCTTGTATTCCTTCCTTCCTATTCCCACTTCATACGTGGTGCTTGAAATTGTGTCAGCCACGCATTTCCTTCTGCTGTGTATCACGGTTGTTTCTGGGTCTGTCTGCCTCATTCGACCGTGATTTCCTTCAGGGCGGAGCCGTGTCTGTGCGCATCTGTACCTTTAGCTTGAATCCAAGAGCCGTGTCTGTGCGCATCTGTACCTTTAGCTTGATTCCAGGTGTCTGCACAATGATTGGTGCTTAACACATATGTGTTGAGTGAGAAAGAACTTAACGGTGTCTTAGATACTTGCGTCACGTCCCTCCTGCTTAGACTATTTTGATTTTCTTAATGTCTAAAGCTCAGTCTTGGAACAGAGATGACTTATTTTGTATCCATCCACCTAGGCAGTGCGCTTCTGTGTGCGAACCCAGCAAATGAACCAAGATATGCTTAGAAGGCGTCTGGATGCCTCCTCAGTGGCTGTCAGTTCAGCAGTTCAAATTAATTATCTTTCGTGATACTGAAGGAACACCAGCTTCTCCCTAGTAAATATGTTTGGCTAGTTATAGAATAATAACCCTGAGCGCAGAGCCTCCCCTTCTGCCATCTGGAGCGCTGTTCTCGCGTGGCGAGGCCTCATTGGCTTCCCACCCCCAGGTTTCGCTGATCTGGGTTTTCTCCTGATCTTTGCCTTTGGAGTGGGATGCTGCATATTTCTCTCTTCCCATCCTCTTTTTTCCTCCCTGACAGTTCTTGGCATCATAATGAAGTCTTTCGCTCTTTTATGTTTTCAAGTATTAAAAACTTTTTTCTTTCAACAAAAGAAAGCGTAAGGAAATGGAAATGGTCTCCCACACAGAAATAGTATGAGGAAGTAATATATTCATTCATATGGTTCAAAAGTTAAAATACTAAATATGTGTTTAGACTTCCTACCCTGCCCATCTACCCTCCACGTGTGTCTCCCCAGTAGTAATTACAGTTCATTTTTTAGTGTGTGTTTTTCCTTAAAAATGCTTTAAACGTGATGTACACCAGCCTGTAAAAATTGAAATGGATGTAAGTGTATTTTTTCTGTCTACATGGAGCAGTCCTAGGAACACTGCCCTGGACCTGTTATCATTTAATGTATCTTAAGAGCTGTCCCCATTGCCACCTCTCCCCTCCCGCACCTGCCTCATTCTCTGTGACTGTCGCATAGTATTCCACTGTGCAGATGCTCTAAGTCATCACGCCAGTTCCTTATTAATGAGCGTTATGCCTTTCTCTTGAACTTTTACCGTTTCCGTAATATGACTGTGACTGTCATTTAAACATCTTTGAACACTTGTGCAAAAGATGTCTACTTTTTACATGTTGAGCTTATTGTTAACTCGTCCTCCAAAAACTAAATTAATCTTCACTAACTTAGACACTCCCCCAAAGTGCTTGAATGTACCTGATGGTCTGTCAGACTTTTCTACTTTTTGTCCATAGGCTAGGGGGAAATTTTTTTATCTCATTGTTTCCATTTATATTTCTTTGATTGTGTGTGAAGATGGTGGCCATTTTGAATTTATAGGTAATACGTAGTTTATCTGTGAACCGCGTCTTATTATCCTTTGGCTGTTTTTCTGTCTGGTGGTGGTTTTTCTCTTATTGGTTTACATGAAGTCTTCAGACCCTCCTCAGGCCTTCCTTGAGACTCTATCTAAAATAGTAACTGAGCCTCATATCAGCATGTTTAATCCTCTGCATAGCATGACCATTGAATGTTTCTTTCACTAATTTGTGATTTCCTTTATTCTACGATATAAACTCTGAAGGAGCAAGGATATGATCTGTCTTATTCACTAATGTATCTCCATCACATAATTCCAAGCCTTTATTCATAATGAGCACTAAGGTTATTTTGAATGAATGGATGAATGAATGAATGAATCAGCCTATATGTGGCATAACAATTTAATTATTTTAATTTGTTTATGATATTCTTTTCCCACTGGAAGCTTTGGATTTTTATTCAGTCAAATTTATCAGTCTTTTTTCTTTCTGCCTTTCGCTGCCTTTGAAATGAAATTTAAAACTCAGTCTGCCTCAATGTAGGTAGTTCAGTATTAGAGAAATCCTGGTACCTAGTTCTTTGGTTTAATACTATAAACGTAGTAACTGAGTTTGGAGGTTAAGCTGCCTCTTCCAAGAGGGTAATCAGAATGTCAGAAGCTAGAGATTCAGTTGCAGTAACGTGATCTCCTATTTGAAGGAAAGTATTTCCTCCTGGGAGTTCAAAGTTCTATTAATATTAGAAGTAACGAGTCAATAACAGGTTGAGTGATTATTCTCCAGGCTGGAGAATCTTTCGCTAATGGAATTGCACTACAGAATTGAATCCAGTGTTTATTTGTAAGTGGCTATGAGTTTATTAGGAAAGAAATGCTAGAGAAATGGCTAAGCAATAGTATTGTGTGACATTCCTTAAGGGACTAATTTGATTTGTTTTTCTTTGTTAAGACACAGGTAAATTTGACTCACATTGTGTTTCTCTCTGCACACGTTGTGCCTCTTGGTCTGATATCTCGAACCTGATTTTTAATCTCACAATTTAGGCACAATTATTTTTGCTACCTAGCTATATAAGAAAATAATCGTGCATGGAAATGGTACTTAAGTAAAAGTTTCAAAAATGAAATATTGCGCCAACAAAGTTAACTATGTCATTGATTTAGGTGTCTTCTGTATAACCAGGTTAACTTAAAACCATATTTTAAAACTTATTGTTCCTAGAGTGAATTACTGGAATTGAAGCGCCAGCAGCAGGAGGAAGAAAGAACCAAAACCCAGCAGGCTGAACACAGGAGGTAGAAATGGCTGATAAAAATAAGCATGCTTGGTTAAGACAATGAAATTGCCTATGAAGTCTTTGCAATGTTTTAAGAAAACACTATAGTAATATTGAATACAGTCTTAGGACCTATATTACCTTTTAGATTCTTTTATTATTAAGGTATAATAATACCTAAGAGGATGACAACTGCTACACACACATGTATATACACATACAATAGCCAATTTTTCTGGATAGGTGGCATAAATTTACACTAGAAACCGAATCATGCCCACGAGCTATGTGTTTCTTTAAGTGATACCGAGTTTGCCTCCCATGGAAAGAAGCACCTTCATCCTTTGAGATGGTGTTTGCCATCTGTAGACTACTGCAGAATAATTGGATTTGTGTAGGTGGTGGGATGCGCATACTTGAATACAAAAGCTCAGACAAAAACTGCCATAAAGTCGTTTCATATTGACTAACACATTAGGGGGAAAAAATATATTAAAATAGAACCATTAAAGACTTTTTAATAATGTAAGTACTCGCTATCCTATTCCTAATAGCAGACATTGAGTACCCAGTAAAATATCATGTCGATGGCGGGACAGTGCTAATAGCCACCGTATCTGTCATTATTAGGTTAGGACTTTCCTGAGGGGCACTTGGGTCATTTGAGTTTATTGCGGTGTGCTCGAGTGTCTCAGGAGAATAATATAACGTAAAGTCTCTCCTGATTTAAAGGGGCAAATTCTTCTTTTGAAACCGAGTGGCTTCTTTTATGTGTTTAACCTTCCCACTGTCATTAACGTGTTTTTTAAAATTCTGGTGCTTTCGTTGTGTACATGAGACTTTAAAAGGTGCAAATGGAAGCTCCCATTCTGCTGGAGCCCCGAGCTGTGGATGGGAGCTCATATTCTTTTGACTATATTGCACGGCTTCCATAGCCCCATCAAAATAGTGTAAAAATGTCAAATGTGAATTCGTGCGTTCTTCTCTGGTCATAAGGAAATATCGAAACTCTGATATACTGGTGAGACTATTTTGTTGGGTGAGGGGACACCATTACTGCTATCTGTGTTTTGTAAAATAAGCCATAATTAATTTAGTTTTTTATTGCTTTTTTTCCCTCATTTTCTTTTTAAAGGTCTTTATTAAAAGTAAATAAATAAATAAACCCGACATTATACCTATATACCACCAGTGGTTCGTACTAGCCAGTTACTTTTCTGGATTTCTGAGGATTGTAAGCTTTACGCATCTTAAAGATAATGATATATCACATTAACAGGCCCCAGTGCTAAGAAATTGATCTTCAATAGGCACCCAATACAAATACAAATTATTCGATTACAGGCAGAAAGGATTACTTTTTTGTTCTAGGAACCTTGAGCCTCATTCTTTAGGTTTGTTTCCATACTGCTGAATACCTAAATATCGGTGGGGCTATTTATTTTCTAGACTATATTTTATCTTTGTATCGATTTTAGTTAAATGTAGATCCAAATATACATATAATCCGTGGCGAAATCTCTCTGGATAATAATTTAGTAATCAGTTTTGAAAGAACTGATCAAGTCTTTAAACACATTTTTTTAATATTCTAAATCAGTTCCTAAAAAGTTTATGTTTATATTGCAGTTAGAGTTTATAGTGAGCTTTCTCATGCTATTATATGAAAATATGCATTCAGTAACCTCTTAATGAATAAAATAGCTTTGTCTACTCCTGCTGAGGGCAACAACACAAGCTGTGTGGTCGGTGTGTCGGGGACAAAAGTTAACTTTTCTCCTTAAGGGACATTAATTTCATTGGAGTCAAAAAGACAATGTGCTTTCTATTGTTTAGAAATTCACACAGCTGAAAACTCATCTCAAAACTCAACTCTGAGTTTTACAGTAGAAAGCTTGTGGGATTCCCAACGTTTTCAATGAATCCTATATGACTGAGCTTGGTGCGCCTGCACCTGACCCAGTGTAACTTAGTAAGAAAAGAAAGTTGAAACTCCAGAGATGAGAAATAGACCTTGGAGGTCAAGGGCTTGAACGGATCTAGACTGCAGGCTGAAAACTGGAATGAACCGAATTGATTTATTGAAACGTGAACCATTCTTGAATAATAGTTTTTATCCAAATTAACCTTGAGGGGAAAAAAAATCCAGAGCATTGGTTTGACAGCAATGAAATATATGTGCTTTCTAATACTAGTACACCAAAATATAAATGTACTTTTTTCTCCCTTCTTTTTGAATTCTTGATAGGAATTGAGAAAAACAATCTCTCTTGCCACCCATGATCTCTGTTTGCCCCACTCTGCTGTCCTCCTAGTAACTGATGATAAAGAGTGAATCGCATCACCCCATGTACACAAGTCATCAGTTTGAGTGAATTCACAGCAGAGGGCAATGAGCAGTTTTACAGTCTGCACTCAACACTGTCGGTGGTTTCATGAAGCGGCTGCAGTCACAGAAGCAGGCAGAGGAGGGGCCCATGCTTCTGGATTATTCATTTATTCATTCATTCATTCATTCATCTTTTACTTATCAGAGCACACTCTGCGAAGGCTTTGTTCCAGGCGCTGAGAGTAGGTGTAAACAAGGCAGAGAAATCCCAGACTATGTGGAAATTACAACCTGGAGGAAAGAAATAGAAATTAACAATTTAACGGCAAGATTATTTCAGACAGTGATACGTACCGTAAGGACCACATCGCGGGATAATGTTAAGAGAGAGATTGGAGGCGATAATTTTTTAAAGAAGAGCTGACATCACAGGATCATAGCCAGGGGGGACAAAAACATATGGATGTCCTCTATTATCAGGCATAGGAACAAATGCAGGGGCTCTACAGTGAGAATGAGCTTGGACTTTTTGAGTTCCAGATGATTGGGTTTTAGATGGTGAGGAAGAGAATAATACAAAATAAGGTAGGAAAGGTGGCGGGAGCCAGAAAATAGATTTCAGAAGCCAGCGATTTTACTCTAAGACTAATGAGAAGTCATGGGAGGGTTCTGAGCAGTAGGAAGGCAGGACCCCTTTATGAGTAAGTCAGCTGGTTGCGTGGAGAATGGATCATGGAGAGCGGGAGTGGAAGCAGAAGCGAGGTGAGGAAGCATGATTTGGACCAGAGCGGTGGCCATGGAAAGGAATGGCTGAATTCAGGAGGTCTTCAGTGGGTGGAGCCCGGACTTCCAGTGATCGGAAGCGAGGCAGCATGGGGCACGTTGAGGGAAAGTCCATTTTTGTCACCGACCGAAAGACTGGATAAACAGCCCAGAATACCACTGGTCATGTTGTTTATGAGGGAGCGGGGTCAGCTTTCTCTTCCTTAATAAGCAGATCTCCAGCTAAGTAAGGTACCGTTCAATTTGCATGCAGAGAGGTCCTGTAAAGGTGACTCAAACTAAGCTCTGCAGCGAACCAGGCTGACCAGAATATGGCGCTCAGATGATTTTATGGTGAGGGGGAAAAAAGAGTTTTCTAATAATGAAGATGGAACAAGGTCTGATGGGATTTGAAGTTGCTGAGAAAACAGCAACCCATGAGCTAGAGATCCAACTGTGTCAACATGCAGTTGGCATTTTAGCCAGCACTGAGCAAGCACAGACCAGCCAAAACAAAAACCACCAGCTTCTGACTTTGCCACCAAGCAGTCATCATCCTCAAAGTCCACAAATCTCCCACAGTCACTGACTTACAGCCACCTGCCATGACCACAATCTGCCAGTCTCCATCACCGAAAGGGGGCTGATATGACTGGGTCCCGCTCACCCTTCCCCGGTGAACGCGTGCTGAGTTGCTGCTCCGCACCAGGCACCGCGTTTCTGCCAAGAAGCTCACGGTCTTAATGGCTTTGTTCTTCAGTAGCTCGATGGCACCGGAGGGCACCGTTCCAACGCTGTTTCTCCAGCCTTCACGTCCCTCACTCTACTCGGCCATACCAAGGCAGCTCAGAGCATGCTGCGGCCTGGAATTTACTTTTTTAAATTAAAAAATTTTCGTTTAAAATTTTTCATTCCTTAGCGGGACGGGCATGTCCAAGTCCATGAAACAAATATTTAGACTCCTGAATTATAGAGTGAACATCCAGGTAGCCAGCTCCAGAAACAGAAGATAACCATGACCCTACACTTCAGCCTCATTCCGACCATAATGACAATCACTTTCTGTCCTTCTTTTGTGGTCTTACCTCCTACGTGTTAAACTTAATTTCCGAGATGGGTTGCTGCAAGTATGACCGAGCATCAGGGAAAGGCGTACCCATTCCGTCTGAAAATTCGGGCCTCCCTCTTCCACTATTCCGCTTTCCCCATACGTTCTTCCCACCTTCTTTTTTTCACTTGCGGGATTTACTTAACATGACTGGCACGTGGGAGCGACATCTCCCTGGCAACGTCGGTGCCTCAGAGCAATTTTTGGTTTCTCTTCACATTTCCGTTCTCGCAGAAGCTTCTCTCTTTCCTCCACCCCTGGGGTTCGTGGCTGACATGGGCTTCAGGGATGGGTGGGATGGGTGAGGAAATCTGTGAAGTTAAGAACTGGCCCGCCCCCACTCCGACCTGAGCCAGAACGGGCACCAGCTCCAGCCAAGGGCTGTTAACAGCATGTCAGAGTTAATGTGAAAAGAAATGTTGGTAGGTTTCTTCTAAGCCGAAGGGAGGAGGCGATCCCCATGGTCAGCCGGACGGCACGTTGGGTCCTCAGAACCCTCTCAGCCCGACAGCAAGCTTTGCACTGACGCGCATCTTTCATTGTTTTAAAGGGTCAATAATGCTTTTCTGGACCGACTCCAAGGCAGAAGTGACCCAGGTGGCCTGGAATACTTCAGAGGCAATTGGAACCTGAATGGTGGTAGAGGCTGGGTGAGTTTTTCCCTTTTCCCTTAAAAAAAAAAGAAAAGAAAAAATTCTTTCAAAGTTGAAGAATAAAACCAATGAGAATTTTAAAAAATATGTCATGGCCTTGTCCCAAATATTTTTTTGGTGTGCTGTTCAGCTGTGCGATGGGCAGTCAGCCAGGGTGATTACTGTAAATTCCACAATAGCTTCTGAGAGAGGGAGAAAGTCCTCATTTCGGCTCAGCCAGTCGCAATAAAAAATGACACCTGCCCTGTGACTGCCTGGACTGTAAGGCTTTTTATCACCCCTGGCCCAGGCTTACAACAAAAACAAGTGAATTTTTTTTTCTTTCAGGAAGATTGTAAGTGAAATATGGTTATAAAAATAGTAAGCATTCTCCGGTAATACATCTTTTCAGCGAAGCTAGCATTTCAAAGAAACCAGTATTTAATTTTTCACTGCAAAATGATTTTTTAAAAAACCCTACAGCAAAAGGCACTTTTTAAAAATGAAACGTCCTTACAGATTTTTGTGAAGAAAACCTTGCAACTTGTAATATGCGTTTAATGCGTTTTTATGCACCATATATTACTGAATCAGCACCAAATCTTTGGCATGTGTATGATTGTGGGGTTTGCAATGTGTACAAAATCAAAACTAACTACAGTAGGCTTTACAACTTAACTATAAGCCCAAGTGCATATGTATCTATTCAAAAAAAAAAATGGAGCAGATAGCAATCTTTAAATTGGTAAAATACAGCAAAATAACCAAGTGCTTGTTGACCTGGAAACTCTAAGAAAAGAGCACTTTTTAATGAACACTTGATAAACAAAAGATCATTTTCGAGGAGACAATCTGTTAGAAATCTTACATACATGTTTCCTTAAAATGCATCCAGTAGTTAAAATTCATAGATAGATTTCACAAATGTATACATATCGAAGATAACTGAATGTAAGCAAATTTGCAGAGAATGCATAGCGGTCGTGTCTGTACATCCATCATTTATGGTCACGTGTATTACTACGGCATTCAGAAAAGAGACAACACGAGAGAGAGAAAAGAGTCTAAATACAGTGTTTTGGCATCGCGTGTTAAAATTTACAAATTATATGAGTTTAAGACATTGTCCAAGTTCATGCAATTTTTAAGTCGTAAAATGCAATTGAAACTCAGATTTTGGACAGGACTGGAAACACACTGCACGTTTTCTCCTCCGCTTAACCACTCCCCAGGTGTAGAGCATACCTGGGATTGAGGGGGAGATGATGGGCGAGAGCAAATGAACATCACACGGGCTGCTGCTGAGGGAGTGAGGACGAGGAGATCTGGCTCACCAGTGGCCGTTGGTAGGCCTGACGTCAGTGAGCGAAGAAATCTTCATTAGGTTCCTCACAGATTGAAAAGGGAAAAGCATTGTTTCCTTGTGGTGTGAGGGAGGATGACTGACGTGTCCTTAGTGGGACAGGCATCTCCAAGTCCAAGGTGCTTCCTGGCTCTTCCCTTACTTGAAAGAAGTATGACCGAAAGGTGAGAACTTCTGGCTCCCACTTCTACCTCCAC